GGATTCGTTTTTCATGGAGTAGCAAGGCTGACTCCTCCAGAGATAGGAGCTTATCGCCCGAGCACAAATGAGAGAAAATACTCAGCACACACTCTACTTCTTTTTCCAGTGTAGTTCTGCGTACATAATAGCCTCGATTTGCCCCTCTCCTTACGATACGGAGCCCGAGTTCGTCTCGTGAGGCAGTTCTTCGAGACCGGCGCAAAGGCCGTTTCCTTCCCTCGTGGCTCTTCCTTACCGAGGCTAATGTGTACGAAGTAGTGCTTTATTGAGTCTCCGACGATGGAGGCGCGGCGCTTCGCGCTCCCGTGTCTCTCCGCCGCAGTGCGCCTCGGCGAGCGAGAGGCGAGTGGCGCTGTCGGCGAGCGGAGTTCCGGAAAGTTTAATTGGCGGCCGCCCGGGCGGGCGAGTGCGCCTCTGTTCCTCGGCTCCTGGCTCACGTGACGGCTGCGCGATTACCTGCGGCGGTCCCCCCTCCCGTCGCCCCACGCCAGGTCACGCGACCGCGCGCTGCCACCCACGTGCATTCCATTAGATGCACACTTCAGAACCTCCATCACTTCCCTTCCTGCACGATTGATTAATTCGTGTTCCCGGGCGCGTCAACCGCTGTGGTCATCAGCCCCGTGAATGTAACGAAAGTGTTACCGCGCGAGGCGGCGGTGCTCCTCCCGCACTGGAACGTGAGATCTAGCGCCGCTCTAAGCGTTAGCGCGTGAAGTTACCCCCTGGTATCACTGCCAGCGGATCACCGCTCAAATAGGGACAAGCTCTAAGCACTCGTCCGGGCCCACGACATTAGTCATGTAGTGCAAGAAACTGTAAGGAGAGAGTCTAGGACAAGACGAAGGAAAGATCGAGCGCGGACCGTGGTCCGTTTGTTACGAGACAGATCCGGCATATACCTGGAATTTACTGTATAAACCTCGGAAACCTGCCGATCAAAGCAGCCCGCTGCTAGAATCCAGAGAGAGATTGAATTCGACCTAACAATGTAGTGTGTCCAAAATTCAGTTCCCGAAGATCTCGCACTCTGCGCAATTTCCTTTACACTCCTATTTTTCCTACTTTTTTACTCCTCTTCACAACCAGGTTACTTTTCCTCCGTATGAGGAATATTATGTATGAAGAATCTATTTATTTGAATGTTTGCTTTTTTTAATGTAAAATTAAATGTTTGTGGCGTTTTTATCGTTTTATTGAAATGCCTGCAGGTATAATATTTAGTGTATTTTGTTAGAGAAATTACAGAAATGAACTCGCTTGAAATTCCTTAAAGGAGACAAATATGTTAAGGCATCACATTAAAGTTATGTTTACTTTGTTTGTAATGCATGATGATATATGAAGTAATATGATCTAATGTACTTTTTACAAAAGGATCATCCCTGAATCCAGAAGGCGAATAACTTAATGCAATCTCCCTAGTTTTTGTGTTAGCAATTGTCTACTTCGAATAAAATAGGTTATTAGGTATAACTTAGTGTGATAAGCAAATACACGAAATATAGAGTATAAAAATGCATGACTTATTTAACCAATTAGATAGGTAGATAGATTACACTGATAGTTTACATAAAACACCAAGTCTATGGTCACCACGTTACTCTGAAATCTTTGGAGACGAATCTGTGGTGAAAGTACAAGCCGCCACCAGGTGCTCGAAGGTCCAACACAAAAACGATGTAGGACTTCAAGATACTTCAAGATATAAAATATTTGCGCAATCATAACTTGCCTGGACTTCATGTCATGGAAAAAAAGGTGTGTAACCCGTACAGTGATCGAAATAAATTCTAGTAAAGTTCAGAATGGACCGGGCGTTCAAAAAAGAAAGTACTTCAGCGATGTGATGTGTTTGCAGTCTCTGGAAACGGAGGTTGCAGTAGAAAGTTGTGGTAGGCGCTCGTATTACGAGTAGGATCCCTTGATAGGATCGCGATCCGAGAAAAAGTAACCACCACTAGAGACGAGGATGACTGCAGTAACATAATCCAGTGTCTGCAATCCTTTGCGTGAGAGCGTGGATACGCAAGCGTTGGAATAAACAGGGCAGTGGGGCCAGGGGGCCGGAAACCGAAATGAAGATGAGCCTGAGCGTGAAGGGGGTGGAGGCGATGGAAGGCACGGTTGGCGTAGATTGATTGCGCCTCGCGCCAATCGGTGCTAATGCATGTATGCGCCGGCAATCCGTAGCCTCCCACTCCACTCCGCCACCGCATCCAATTTCGTATATTCGCCACCGTCGCCACGCGCGCGTCCGCCTGCACGCGACCATCCACTGCCATCTCACCCCACGGCCCTCGGCGCCGCCCCGCTGCGGCTCACCAACGGCGCTCTCTCACGCCCTCCCACGCGCGCACTCGGCGGCGAGGGGAATATTAAATTTTCAACTAGGCCGTTGTCTCTGCAGCGACTCGAAGCGGGAAGCCCTAGACTTATCTCTAGTCTCAATGGTGGGGAATTTTTGACATTGGCTACGTAGCGAGGTATAATTCACCCACATCAAGAGGAACATTTTAGTGGCCAGCAGCTCTGATTGGTAGTTTTCCGTGGTTTCTCCGATTAATTCCAGGCGAAGGGTAGAGCATTTTTCTCTCAAAGAGTCCGTGTGCTATCTTTTCTTCCTCGATCTTTCATGCTCTGCCCTACCAAACATATCGGGAGCTTAGTGTTTGTTCCGAGTGGGAAGGTGGCCCACTGGAGGGGAAATCGACGTGTAGATCGACGCCGGATTTCATGATCGAGCAGAGGGGAAGGGGACAACGCCATCTCCCGGAATAAAACATTCGCTACACGATCACCACTAATGGCTGTAGCAGTTGACGCGCCGGGAAACGTGAATCGATGTAATGAACCGGACTTGTATTGTTGATTCCCTGTGGTTTTCAAAATACTACGTAGTTCTCATATCGACTTAGCGAAACCAAACAGAGAAGACTTAGCTTAACCAAACAGAGAATCAAAAATCCACTCTTAACAGCCGGCGTCCGTTAAGGATTTAACAGACCAGTCCGTCAAGAACAATCGAAACAAATGAATTGTAGCTAAAGATGGCGTGTGAGTACCTTATTCCAAGAAGTGGCGTTTCTTTTTAAATGATTATTTCTTGTAAGAAGGTGATAGTACAGAATGTATTGAACGACTTACGGCCGATAACCCTAATAATAGATTTGTTGGGTTATTTGCTGTTTGGGAGCGGAAAGCCTTTGCATGCGTGGTTGCCCCACGATGTTTGTTGGCCCTCGAGGCTTCGTGAGTGCGAGCGGCGCCGGCCGCGCACCTCCCTCGGACGAGGCATTGCGCTCAACGGGCGAGCGAACTTGACCATGAAGCTTCTGTATTTCTTATTACATGGAAGGGTGGTACTATTACACAGGCGCACACAAACAAAAGTCAGACTCATAGACGACAATTGGAGCCAGAATTGCGCCACCACCCTCCAGTTTTTTTAATCGCAAAAAAAAAAAAAAAAAAAAAA